TAGATAGACGAAGTAATTCAAGTGCAAGAAAGTTTAAATTCAGCCCTCGTTTGATTCTCATTTTTTGGTCACAAAAATAAAAAAGATGACCGTTATCCATCACATCAAGTCACCATATTTGACTTTCTATCTCTTTTGTGGGTCCCGTAACGACTATATTTTTTATTCTTATTTTTACAAAAATGGGTACCAAACGAGATATAATAATAATGGCTATAATTTATTTGAAATTTAATAATCTATCATAAACAATGCCACAAGTGAGTTAAGTTGGATAACTCGATAGAGTTAAGTGGCTATCATTATCGATAAACAATACCACGAGCGAGTTGAGTTGGATAATAATCTCATTTGGATAAGTGTATATTTCTTTATGAATATATATCTAAAAAGTTTTCACTTCTCCTCTAATTTTCCTGTGTTTCCATATCATTACTTGATAAAAGTAAAACTACAGAATCTGATGTTACAAACCCAAAATGAACCCTGAAACGAAAAAACAAAACAAAATAAAATAAAATACCCCCAATTCATTTTTAGCTAGACTGCTAGAGAAATATAAAAAGGGTAAACATGCCAAGTTCTTAGTACCACCATTCAAAACACTCTCTCCTACATATGGAAGAAGTTACCATCTTGGAGCTTATTCATGAATCAACATCCTCCTCCCCCTCCTCCTCCTCCTCCTCCTCGACACCCTTCTCCTCGGTAGCCTCCTCCTCGAGCGCTGAACTCTCTCCGTCCTGGTCCAGTGCAACCAAGAATAACACTGGAGGTGATTATTCAAAACAAAATGGAAGTAATAAGATTAAATCTTGCCACGATTCGAAGAAAAATGTCGTCGGTAAACACCCTATATATCGAGGAGTACGCAAAAGAAGCTGGGGAAAATGGGTGTCGGAAATCCGTGAGCCAAGGAAAAAATCCAGGATATGGCTAGGGACTTTTGCCACTGCTGAAATGGCTGCTCGAGCCCATGATGCAGCTGCAATTGCAATCAAAGGACATTCAGCTTTTCTTAACTTCCCAGAACTGGCTCAAGAACTGCCCCGCGCCATCTCCAAGTCCCCGAAAGATGTCCAGGCTGCCGCAGCCAAAGCAGCAGCGCTAGTGGCGGAGCAGGGCGGTGGGAATGATACAATGGCCGCAGCTGATGATATGAGAGAATCATCAAATGAAAATGAAGATCCAATATTTCTTGATTTGCCTGATCTTTTCCTTGGCATCAGCCACCAACTTGATGGATTCTGCTACACGACGGCGCCACCACCATGGCTGCTGGCTGGTGCTGAGCTTATTCCAAGCGAATTCTTGGCTGAAGATCTTTCCTTATGGGAATGAACTTGATGGATCGCTGATTGGACACTTTAACGTGGTCCAGAGTTTAAGGGCTAAGATTGATTTTATGACTCATGATATGTGCCTAATTATCGAAGTTGCTAATTAAAAATTAACATTTTCGTTTCATAATTTACTTTTCCA